CCTTAACCTTCAACCCTTTAACCCTTCAACCCTAAACCCCTAAACCCCTAAACCCCTAAACCCCTTAACCTTCAACCCTTTAACCCTTTAACCCTAAACCCCTAAACCCCTAAACCCCTTAGCCTTCAACCCTTTAACCCTTTAACCCTAAACCCCAGTTTTTGCAAAACCGAGGAAAACCATTGGGCTCTCCATCGCCTGCGCAAGAGCGACTCTGAGCCGGCAAAGGCGCAACCAACGGGTCGATTCCTGTAGGGTTTAGGGCTCCTGTAGGGTTTCAGGGGAGCGATTAGGGTTTAGGGTTCAGGGTTTAGGGTTTAGGGCTCCTGTAGGGTTTCAGGGGAGTGATTTTGTTGTGTTATAGGGTTTTATTAGGGTTTTGTAGGATCCTCTATGGTTCATTTTCAGAGTTCTTCTAGGGTTAGATGGGAGCAGCGAGGGTTTGAGGGTTTTGTAGGGTCCTTCTGTTGGGTTCATGTCTAGAAGCGGATTGTAGGGTTTGATGAGGGTTTTTTTCAGGAGTTTTCCTCGCATTCTCGAAATCTTATAAAAGTTATTGCTAGAGTTTACAATTATTCGGTATTATCTTGTATTAAGTGTATTCAAAACACTGTTTCCACTTGAAACACACAACTATGTGATGCCCGAAGAACAAGCATTTCGGATGTAATCGAGGGTAATTAGATGGCGGGTCTAAGTTAATGTGTGGTCGTTGTTGAATGAACACTGTTTATTTAGTGTTTCTTCCTGGTACGATACACACTCGGCAGCACGTTTTCCAGTTGCTGTTCTCAATGAGATTGGTAGCGTTGATGTTTTCGGCTGTGTCAGGGTTTCGTGAACCCTAAACCCTAAACCCTAAACCCTAAACCCTAAACCCATGTTTGTTGGGGTCATCACGGGTGTTTCTGAAAGCCCGCACAGGTTCTCCTTGTCTGGCCGAAGATTAAAGTTCCCGGGCACTTAGCTGAAGCTTTGCTCCACGATGCGGTGATCATCATTTTCCAGCTTCATGCAGGGCTTCCCCACCCTAAACCCTAAACCCTAAACCCTAAACCCTAAACCCTAAACCCTAAACCCTAAACCCGTAAACCCAAAGCCCTGAACCCTCCTTTGCTGCTTGGGGCCAGGCTTTCGGGGACGTTAGAGCCTTCGAGTTTCCACATAGACCTAGAACTCGAACGCGAAGCTCAGCTTTATGTCAGATCCTTGCAGCATTGGTTCAGCTCAGCTGCCACCAGAAGTCTTCTCCACCAATCTTGAATCAGTCTAACATCCCAATATGGCCCTTTCTACTGGATTTTTTGGCATGATGGAGCCCGTCTAAGACCCAGGCATGTTTATCAAACACCAAGCCCGATCCTAAAGCCAAACTCTGCCCTAGGGCTCTGGTTGCCTAAATGATGGGTTCCTGGGTACATGCTATTTGGTTAGTAGTCTACTGTTTGAGCAACTGGAGCCCTAGTGCTGGGTAAGGCGAACCAGCCGTGGACCAGCAGTGCTCAATTCCAAGCTTGCTGCGTCGGAGGTGCTGGCTTTGAGTGTGTTCCTTTTTCGGTTTAGGGTTCAGGGTTTTGGGTTGAGTGTGTGTGTGTGTGTGTAGGGGTGTTGGGGTCTTAAGGGCTTTAAGGGATTAAGGATTGTGATGGAGTCTTGGTGGTGGGGGGTGGGTGGGTCAAAAGGGCGACTGCCGGTATTAACAACAATGTCGGACGTGCTAGGGGTCCTTGTCCGGATTCACTGTTGGTTCTATACTTTGCATCCCATACTTTCAGAAACGCCTGTACAAGCTTCAACAACTAGCAAAGTCGCAGGCCTTTGTGTTGCTCTCTTTGCTTGCCGCGGCAGCTGCAATGTTCCTTAATATCAGAGTCCCAAAGGGTCCAAGTTATAGTACGGTATATACTTGTGGGGCCCAAATACCTACAAAGTAGCTACCATATTACTACTTGAACCCTTTGGGAGTCATTCGGAAATAGCAGGAGCAGCACATCAGGCATGAACTGTTACGCTTGGGCCTCGGTTCCTGGTCCCTGACCCTGAGATCCAAAAACTTGGGGGCTTAGGGGTTGGGGTTTAGGGTTTAGGGTTTAGGGTTTAGGGTTTAGGGTTTGGGGTTTAGGGTTTAGGGTATGTACGAACCGAATATACCGCTACATCCTCAACCCTCAATCCTAGACCTACCCTATTGTTAGCCTGCCTTCTCCAGTTGTCAGCTGTAAGTACCCTAAACCCTAAACCTTAAACCCTAAACCCTAAACCCTAAACCCTACAGCCCTAAACCCTAAACCCTACAACCCTAAACCCTAAACCCTACAGCCCTTAACCCTTAACCCTAAACCCTAAACCCTACAACCCTAAACCCTAAACCCTACAGCCCTACAGCCATGTAAGTTGTAGCAAGCCATCTTCCGCTGCGAAGGTGTCGGTGGCGGCAGGAAAGGTCGCAACAAAGGCAGGGGTGAGCGCAAGAGAGGGCGCACAACCTATAAACTCTACAACCCTAAACCCTACCTTAAACTACCAAACCCCACTTTTTGGAGGTTTTTATTATAAACCCTAATATGGAATTTATAGGGACCCTACAAAAAAGTAGGGTCTGGTAGGTTAAAGTATAGATTCTACCACCCCAAACCCAATAAACTCGACAACGCTAAACCCTACAGGCCTTCCCATACTCGCTGGTGTACTTATGGTTTGGCATGCCATTATTGTGAAGCAGGATCCTGCATATAAAGTTGGGCAGCACAAGAAGGAATCCACCAACAAATCCTAAACCATTACTACATGCCCCAGTAGCACCATCAATGCAAAATAGTGCGGGTGCCCAGGGTTTTTGGGCAGCCTAGGAAACTACGCTGAACCCCGGCCTGCTAGACCCTGAACTCTAGACATAAACACCTTGAGCCCAGTCCCTACAGTAAACCCTGAGCTCAATCCCTCAACTAAACCCTAAACCCGCTACGTAGCTGCCTGAAAATCGACTCGCATGATGCGAATGATGCAGGCTCCTACGAGGATGACTTCGCTAGCGGCCTCAGCCGTCCAAAGGTACTACTTGGGGCTATTCTTTTTTGTTTATGTTTCTACATCGAAACCAGGTGATGTTTGATGATGGGCTTTGGTAGTAATCATTCCTTCTGAGGCTTGGGGTATGCGTTGCCATCAGCCATCGCATCATTGCTAGGACTATTGTCCGTACGAGGATGCCGGCTTGTATGGTGTGTCAATTGAGCAGCTACCGAGTACCGACATATGTCCGTTCTTCTAGGCAGAGGCAGCATGCACATGGCGATGCTGCGCATGTCGTTTTGTTGCTGCTGCACGAGAATGCGGTACATATGATGGTTGGTCCTACTTATGCCGTCCTGGGTTATCCAACTTGTGAGTTTCTTGTTTGAGTTTCTTGTCTCTGCTATCTTAATCCTAAAACTCTTAAGCCTGCATTCGACTTGTGACCCCCCCCCCCCCCCCCAAGCCCAACATGCCTGATGCCCAAAAGCCGTTAAGGCTCAACCAGACCAACGCTCGTAAGCTTTGAAATCCTACAGCCCCAACCCCTCAAGCCTCGCACTCTTCCCTCCAAGGTTCATCAAGGCAAGTACGTTCCCCCAGAGTTTGGCCTTTCCCAGTCGGACGTCACGAAGGCCATTTGCTGTTTACATGGTTTGTGTGCAGTTTAGGGTTCAGGGCTGAGTATTCTTGGAAACCTGTCCACTAGGCTCGTTCTTTCTCAGTCGTACCAGTCTAGTTAATCTGGTGCTCAGGCCTGAGTAGGATACAGCTACACAGCAGCTATACACATTGCAGATCCGTGCTTGTCATTGTGCTCTGCACCAGAGTCTTCAGGCTAACTACAGTGTCTTGCCATGACTATTTAGAAGTGCAAATACCAACGGTTTATTATGTACATGACATAATCGCAGCACAGATCAGGGTTCATATTGCATTTAATAGCCGCCCAAGCCACAAAGGGATCCGCTGCCACAATGCTTACTGTACGAAACACCTCTACAACTACTATCTGATGTAGGTTTCCGGTAAATCGGCTAGCAACCGAGTTTTGTTTCAATGCAGCTTCGTACACCTTAGTAGGAGATACATATATCCATCTGCGATACTCGTATCAAGAGTATCAGCGAAACCACGGACACTCAGCCGCAAGCTCCATGAAACCCCAAACCCACATCACCTCTGGGCCTTGTACTCCCTGTGTGAAGACGCTCGTAACTCTCTTTTACCCAGAGGCTGCACATATACTAGGTCCTTAAGACCTTGATGAGGATGGTCTTTTGGGACCTAAT